AGTCTGCTGACCTATCGATGACATTCAGCTGTTGTAGTGGGCGGGACGGACCAGGAGTCTGCTGTCCTATCAATGACATTCAGCTGTTGTAGTGGGCGGGACAGACCAGGAGTCTGCTGTCCTATCAATGACATTCAGCTGTTGTAGTGGGCGGAACAGACCAGGAGTTTGCTGTCCTATCAATGACATTCAGCTGTTGTAGTGGGCGGGACAGACCAGCAGTCTGCTGTCCTATCAATGACATTCAGCTGTTGTAGTGGGCGGGACAGAACAGGAGTCTGCTGCCCTATCGATGTCACACAACAGTCAGCAGTGATGTAATTACAGTCCTATCAATGACATTCAGCTGTTGTAGTGGGCGGAACAGACCAGGAGTTTGCTGTCCTATCAATGACATTCAGCTGTTGTAGTGGGCGGGACAGAACAGGAGTCTGAGGCACCCGGGTCCTCCCACTACAGCCAGCAGTGATGTAATTACGTTGCCGCTGGCAACAAATGAGCTGCTACGGGGAAGTTACACAACTGGTGGCCCAGAAAAGGAGTCACATCTGGGCACAGGACACAGCTAGGGCCTTGGGGTCGCAAGGGAGGGCTACACGGGGCCCACAATACACTAGTTTTACAGGCCTGCCTTATATCTGGGCGGACCCATAGACGACTCTGTATTTTCGGCCATCGTTCCTTCTATCCGCAGTGCGGTCACCTCTATGGTTGTGTTTTGTGTTGGCAGCGGATGACATGGGTCTGGGGAAGACCCTGACTATGATCGCCCTCATCTTGGCTCAGAAGCGGAAGCAAAAGAAGGAGAAGGTCGAGGAGAAGAAACTGGAGACGTGGATTTCCAAAACGGGTATTGATGGAGAAAGGGGGTAGGGGCGGTGTCACTGGATCAGGGGGCGGGGCTTGTGGAGAGATAGCCTAATGTGACACATACAATGACAAATGACGTGCTGAAATATTCCTGAGCTCGCGCTCTGAGCACGGCACCTGCATTGCATTGTGGGTGGGCAGAGATGTATTCCAAACTCCATCTTGGGGGATCTGCATACAGCACATGTCCCGGATTTCAGAGGTACCTGGAGCCGTCCTTATTATAACACAGGGCTGGACAAATCGCAGGAGCCAGGTCGCCAGTGCTGCTTACAAATTACAGCTGGCGACTGTTTTATACTTTCTCTACTTGTTCTTAACCCCTTCACGAGCGATATACAGTGTACGGCGCCGACATCGGGGCTCTTTAGCCGACTGTCGACTGTCAGCTTTACAGTAGAAGCAATTCTGGTGACTCGGCTGTCGCCAGATTGTTTCTACGGCCCGGTGAAGAGGTCCCTCCCATCCGTCCGACACCCCCGCTGTGCTTCCCAGGCTCCGTTGCCCCTCCTACGGGCCCGAGACCGCCTTCTCTGGTGTCGGGGGGGAAGCTGGGGAGGAGATGGACGAACCTCTGCTCGTCGATCCCCCTCCCCCGTTCTATGGGACCGGCAGCAAATCAGATTGCATCACTTCCGGTCCCTGGGCTGTCATTGGTCGGCTCCTGAAGCCTGCGATCTGCACTTCTTCAATAGCTTATTTGGAGTGTAAAGGTGACACTGGGGGTCTTTTGGACCCCCAGCATCACCTTAAAGAGAACCTGTCACCACCATCTGCTATCACATGGGGGGCTTGTAAGCCCCCCTATGTGATGGCAATTAAAGTTAAAAAAAACAAAAACAGTTTTTAAAACTAATGTTCAATAAAATAATGTAACATTTTTTTAAAAGTCCCCCGCGTCTTCACGCGTCGGGTGCGCTTACGTATGAAAACGACGAACGCGCTACACATGTTGGGTATCGCCGCGCACGCCGGAGTGAGAGCAATAATTCCAGGGCCAGTATTTTTGGGTATCTCTAAACTGATGACCTGTGGGGGGGCTTTTAAAACGTCGTCTATGGACTTTTTGAGGTACTGAATTTTGTCACACAATTTTTAACCCGGGCATGTTGCAACATAAAAATTTGCAACTGCCGCCATTTTATTCTACGGGGTCTCAGCTTACAGAAAATATATCACGTTTGGGGCGTTTTAAGTAATTTTCAGGCCTAAAATGTGGAATAGAACACGGGTGCAAAAAATGGGGGGGGGGGGGGGCCTCGGTTTGGAGGGGGTAA